TTCTTTCTTTCTTTCTTTCTTTCTTTCTTTCTTTCTTTCTTTCTTTCTTTCTTTCTTTCATTTATTTGAGGCAGGGTTTCTCTGTGTAGCCCTGGGTGTCACTCTGTAGACTAGATTGGCCTCAAACTCAGAAATCTGTCTGCTTCCCTAAACTTTTTAAAATGACAAAGTGTGTAGATGCCTTGACTGTACTTGACTAAGAATACTATAGATAATGCAGCCACAGTTTCTGACCAGGTTATCAGGAACTAGAATTAAGGAAACTGAATTGTGCCTTAGCTGTTTGCTTTATTTTATCTCGATGAAAGTTAAAAGACAGAAACCTTAGTTTCTCCTTGTGTCCTCAGGACTTCCTATTATTCCAAAATACATAGAGACCCAAGCAACACCTCAGAAAAAGTAATGAATGGATGGTAACATCTTTATAGTTAAATTTTAAGCATTTCAAAGGTTTTTTAATTAAAATCGAAAACACTGACTATAATATAATTTTCAAAGTGATTGTCTTTCTCTCCCAGAGTCTGTTTTAGAAAACTTTGTGAAAACACATGGTGGTACTTCTTCCCTCTTTTAGCAGGTTAATCTAGGCTACTTTGGGATTTATTAAATTTTACTCTTAGAAAAAAATCAGTGAAGAGGAAGCCCACACAGGTGAATTCTTCTGTTGACATTTGGGAACAACAATGGAGCATATAAGTATCTATCCAGAGGATTTATAAGAAAATCTTTAGGTCATGATCACATACTTTTGATAATATAGGAAAACAGTTGATATTTCTCAAAATTTTCTCATAAATATTACATTGAATACTGGTTCAGGACTCAAAATTTAAGAGTAGGATATGAAAAACTCAGAGCAAGCAACTAAAGTGATATACACATAGACTGTCTTCCTGTGCCTGAGGACCAGCTCCTCATTCTTTCTGTGTCCCCCTCAAATGTCTGCTGTATTAAACTGATAATCCACATGATATCACTGTCCTCATACAGCCTCACTCACTGCAGGTAAGCCTTCTGATTGATATCATTTTTTTCTTTTTTAATTTCCCACCAGATTTCTTTACCTCTTCTCCTCTTAGCTCTTCCCTATGTCCCTTCAGCCTTCCCCACTCCTCCACTCCTCCATTGTTATTCAGAAAAGGGCTGTTCCTATGTTAATCCTACCTTTTCAAGAATATGGGAAATCTTTCCATTTTCTCAATCTTCTCTAATTTCTTTCTTCAAAAACTTGGAATTCTAATTATACTCGTCTTTCATTTGCTTGGTTAGAGTTACACATATTTTATATTATTTGTAGCGATTTGAAGGGTGTGGTTTCCCTGATTTCTTTCTCAGCCTGTTTATCATTTGTATATAGGAGTGCAGCTGACTTTTTAAATGAATCTTGTATATAGCCAATTCACTAAAGGTGCTTATCAGCTGTGGGATTCCCTGGTAGAATTTTGGGGATCATTTATGTATACTTTTATATCACCTGTGAATAATGATACTTTGCCTTCTTCCTTTCCAATTTGTATCCCCTTAATCTCCTTTTGTTGTTTTATTATTACTCTAGCTAGAATAGCAGGTATTATAGTGAATGGATATGGGGAGGGTGGATAGTGCCTTGCTCCTGATTTTAGTGGAACTGCTTGGAGTTTCTTTCCATTTAACTTAATGTTGGCTATTGGGCTGTAATATAGTGCTTTTTATTATGTTTAGGTATGTTCCTTGTATCTGCATTTTTTTCCAAGACCTTTATCATGAATGGGTGTTGGCTTTTGTTAAAGGTTTTTTTCAGTATCTAATGAGATGATTGTGTGGTTTTTTTCTTTCAGTTTGTTTAAGTGGTGGATTACATTGACAGATTTTTGTATGGTATGTTGAACATCTCTGCATTTCTTGGATGGAGCCTGTTTGATTAAGGTAGAGAATCTTTTAGATGTGTTCTTGGATTTGGTTTGTGAGTAGTTTATTGAGTATTTTTTGCACCTATGTTTTTAAGGGAAATTGGTCTGTAATTCTCTTTTTATCTGGTGTATTTTGGCATGTGTGACATTT